CCACAGGCGCCTGCCACAACGCCTGGCCATTTTTTGGTTGCAGCCATCACTGTTGTTTGGCAGCCTGGGCTGGATTCAAACCCGCCACTTTAGGTGTATGTGGCTGGCACCTTAGCCACTTGAGCCACAGGCATCGAGCCTTTTTAAGTTTTTAATTGTGGTAAAAAATACAAAATTTACAATGTCAATCATGTGACATATTTTTGAACACAGTCTTTGCATTTGATGTTTCTCCAAAACCTTCCCAAGACTCTTGTCTCGTAACAACTCCTTATTTAAATGTTGCTTCCTCAAAGAGCCCTTCTCTCAACACTAGGAGTAACATTTCTTTCCTACTCCTAGTCATTTTCGGTCTCACTATCCCGAAGCACTCTTCACTATTTGAAATAGTGTTTATCAGCTTATTACTATCACCCCCTCCCTACTAAAGTATAAATTCTACCTAGTCAAGGACCTGGTTTGTCTGCTTTTCTCCCCAGACCTAGCACTGTGCTTTGCACATAGTTTGACCTGTTAAGTTTTGTGAAAATACTTGCTAAGCAATAAATATAGTGCTTTTATGAAACTTTTTAAAGTTCCTCAAGCATTTCATACATCTCATTTGATCACTATAACTCAAGTAAAACAGGCTTGCTATACCCACTGCACAGAAATTCAGAGAAGCTTCACACCTAAAACCACAAGACCAGTAAAATGGTAGTGTTGGGATTTCTGCATAGGTGGATTGCCTTGTCCTATACCTTGACTCTATTTCTAGGGCTAAGGGTAATTTAAATTACTTTGTTATTAAGAAGTGTTGACTCTGGAGGATAATAGAAACAACCTGAATATTTGGGTTTAAGACAGAGTCAGCTAGATGAGATGGCTCACACTTATGATCCTAGCACTTTGGGAGGCCAAGGCAGGTGGATCAATTGAGTTGATTGGATTTCAGTGCTATACCCAATGAATTTCTGTGCAGGGGGTATAGCAAGCTCAGGAGTTGATTAGCCTGAGCCAAGAGCCAGATAACCATCTCTACTCAAATAGGAAAACTAGCCCAATGTAGTAGTGGATGCCTGTCTCAGCTACTTGAGATGCTGAAACAAGAGAACTGCTCCAACCTAGGAGTTTGAGGTTGCTGTGAGCTATAACACCATGGCACTCTATCCAGGACGCCAGAGTGAAACTCTGTATCCAACAAAATAAATAAATAAATAAAAATAAAAATAAAATGAAATAAGAGCAACAGTGTCTTGGGCCAGGTGCTGTGGCTCAACACCTGCAATCCTAGCACTTTGGGAGGCCAAGGCAGGAGGATAGCTTGAGGCTGGGAGTCCAAGACCCACTAAGCAAGAATGAGTCCTCCATAATAAAGATAAAAAAGAAAAATTAGCCAGTCGTGGTGTGGTACACAGGAGGCTGAGGCAAGAGAATCACTTGAGCCCAGGAGTTTGAGGATACAGTAAGCTATGATGCCACTGCACTCTGGCCTGGGTGACTGAGAGGGACCTTGTCTCAAATTAAAAAAAAAAAAAAAGAGTCTCTCTCTGTTACCCAGGCTACAGTGCAGTGGCATCATAGCTCACAGCAACCTCAAACTCCTGGGTTCAAGCCATCTTCTTGTTTCCGCCTCAACAGTAGCATGAGCCACCGTGCCCACATTTTTTTTTTTTTTTTTTTTGGTAGAGACAGTGTCTCACTTGATCGCCCTAGGTAGCTTTGCTGAGGCATCACACAGCTCACAGCAACCTTCCAACTCCTGGGCTTACGCGATTCTCTTGCCTCAGCCTCCCGAGTAGCTGGGACTACAGGGGCCCTGCCATAATGCCCTGCTATTTTTTGTTGCAGTTTGGCCCGGGCCGGGTTTGAACCTGCCACCATTGGTATATGGGGCCGGCGCCCTACCCACTTACCCACAGGCGCCACCCAATTTTCCTTTTTTTAAGAGACGGGGGTCTCACTAGCTGCCCAGGCTTGTCAGGAACTCCTGGTTCAAGCAATCTTCACGCTTCGGCTACCGCAAAAGCGATGGGATTACAGGCATAAACCACTTTGTCTTGTTTTGTTTTTTGAGAGAGAGAGTTTCACTACATCACCCTCGGCAGAGTGCCATGGCGTAACAGCTCACAGCAACCTCAAACTCTTGGGCTTAAGCGACTCTCTTGCCTCAGCCTCCCAAATATCTGGGACTATAAGCGCCTGCCACAGCGCCCGGCCAGTTTTTGTTGCAGCTGTCATTGTTGCTAACGTGGCCTGGGCCGGATTCGAACCCTCCAGCTATGTGGCTGGCGCCGCTGTAACCATGGGGG